TTGAGAATCCTCTAGAATAGTGATAAGTCACTAGAAATCATTTTAATACTATGTTCATTTCACAGAATACAGATCCATATACATTCCAGAGCTCCAGTAGCAGAGTCAGGTATGGGTTTCATCTTGACCAGTAGTACTTAAACCTAATTACAAAGTGGTTGGTTACTCCCATTATGTTCATGCCATTGTTGCATGTTCTACCAGGACAGTACTATTATAACTCACAAGGTGCACAGCAGGGTAAGACTGTTGAATTCTCTCCTGTAGTTAAATACATAACCCTTTTCAGTCTATAAAATTTAGACATAGGAATGACGATTCTATGTCAATAACAGCTTGATTTCTTCATGTTCTATGAGTCTCACTAAGTGATGTCTTTAGCAACGTAGTCTTACCATCAAATTCTGGAGGGTAACAAAAGCAAGAGATAACCTGAAATATTTGGAGGTGTATGAGAACCCACCAGCTATCAACTCCAAAAATAGATAACCCATCCCTGCCACTGGGCTTTTTATTTGTTAGCCTGTGGTATCTAATAAGGATATTTGTTCATACCCATCTCCCATTATAAAGTAACTCCATTTAAACTCTCTTTGTATATGAACATGTACACATTTTAGGAAGCTTCTACAGCAATAGATCTTTTTCTACATCAAGCAAATAAAATCATACTCTACATTTTACTGTTTATTTCTTCTGATATTTACATCCACATTTCTAAACAGTAACAGAACTTTATAATATAATGTATTTTTCATTTTAGAAGAATCCCATAATTTTTTGCTACAGAAACTAAGGACTTTCCTCTATTTTTCTCAATATTTCTGACTCAGCCCCTCACAAACTTCATGTTTTAAAAACAGTTATTTACCATTTTATTTATTTTTGAGTCAGTATTGATTACTTGTGTTATTAATACTATGTAAACAATATGCAAATTATTCAGGTAGTACATATGATTGCATTTCCTTTCTGTCAGGACCGTTATTCCTAGAGTTAATAAGTGGCTCTTCTAATGTTCCCTGTAATTCTTGCTATTAACAATATTGCACACAAATTGTCTCTCATCACTAAAAATTTCCTCTCAGTGTGCACATTTACATTTTCTTTTAAAGATGGTTTTCTTAGAGACATCTCTTACAGAAACTCACTATATGAATTTTCATCATTGAAAGTCTATTGCACAGACATTTACACTGAATTCTTGTTGCCTTTTTTCTCTAATCACTCCTAAAAATATGTTTTTCCTACCTAAGATTTTAAAGGCATCTTGGCTTACCATCTTATTTCCAGTGTTGATTCTGAGAAATCTAACACCACCTTCATTCAGAATCCCTCAAATATAATCTTCCATGTCTCTGAAAACATTAAGGATATTTTATCCATGAACCTATGTACTGATTTTTGAAATTAGAATAATTTATAATAAATTTTAAAATTCAAATAATTTTCTAGAATTTGTCAATGCATCTATTATCTTTCCCAAAGGTATCCTAGAATAGTAAGTCTCTGGAAACAGAAGGAAGATTTCTTCCCTCAAGTAGGATACTCTATAGAGCTCACTTTTGAATTTAGATGTTGTAGAGGCTGAAAATGAACCAAGGAATATTTCATTCTGTGACGATTTATATAATACATCTACCATACCCAATATCACTATTCTATTAAAGATAAAAGAGACAAGGGGATGATGCTCCCAACTGATGTGAAAATTTTCATAATATTCATATCTTTCAATGATGCTACTATTTTGTTTATATAAGTATCTTCCATAAAATTAAAAGGTACAACCAGAAAGACAATACAGTATTTGCATTTCCACTCCCTATGTTCAACACAATGTCTACCATTCTTTAGATAGGAAATGAAGTTTTAAAAGTGATTGCTTTAGTACTGCTCACTACTGGACACTACCACACATTGTTCCAGCCACAGGGGGTTACTTATGCCTTCTTCTTCTTGCATCATGTAGAACTGAGAATAATGAATGAAGGTTTTTTAAAATTAGAACAACAAATTATAAACTCTGTGTGTGTGTGTGTGTGTAAATATAAAGCATGGTATGATCATTTAATATAACAAAATGGCCATTGATTCTCAAAGTAGAATGTCTCCACTTCTCATTTTTAGATATTATAATGTTCAATGGTATTTAATTCTGACATATATGAGATGCTTATGTGAAGGAGTTATACAAAGTTACCCAAACAATAAATCTGAAATCACTTTCTGTCCACACATCCTATTCAGTAGCACCAAAGAGAGTGGCTTTGAACATCTCACTAGGAATTCCAATGACTTATGTACGACTAAAAGTGTGTAGGGTCTCTAGTAACACAGACATAGTGGTATTTGAATACATGCATTTCAGAAGTAAAAATCGCCATGGAAATTCACTTCATAAAATCAACACCCTAGAATGACCATCCAAACCCTCAGCAGCTGAGCTCATTTTTGAAAGAGATTAGGAAAGAAATGTAGCAGAAAAAATGTAGAATGGTGATCCCTAGTTTAAAAGATAATTTTAAATAAAGCAACTTGTTATAGATTCCCTTGGGGAAAGTCAGACTTTTTTAGAAAGAATGCATCTTACACAATGGATTTTATTCAGGTAAGGTGATGAGAAAACTAGACTGGTATGCTCAGATGCAGTGCCAGTAACTCATGCTTCTATTTATTAATAATTTTCCTGGCTTCAAGTGGAAGATTAAATATGAAATTTAAAAATCTGGATTTAAGTAAGAAGTGTGTATAGGAAGCATGATGGAGATGAAATGTTTTAAAACCTATCAGACCAAGAACTATGGAATAGTGTTGAAAATATGATGATGATGTTCATAATAAGTAGGGAATATTTTGTCCTTAAAATGGACAGAATATTCTCACAAAATGATTTTAAAATACCATGAAAGTCTGGATTATAAATGATGACAGAGTTATTCTAAATTGTCCCTAATTAATTTACAGTCTCTATATTCTTAGACAGCCTCAGAATTTGTTGAACTATCATCCTTCCAGGTGACAGAAGTGCTTACCTACTTGCCATGGCTGAGTAAAATATGTTAAAACTACCATAAGCTCTTAGGAGAAAAAGAAAATCCCATGTATTGATTTTTCAGATTTAGCTCAAAGTTTTGGAGGAGCTCAAAGTACTGTATTTCTCCTTAGCAAAAGAAATAAAACCAAAATTCAGGCTCAACCTAAACATAAATGGGGCTTAGGAATGACACTTGGCATTACTTAAGTTTGCATGTTCCTTCTACACTGGATAAAAATAAAGAAAAGAAAGCATCTAAAACAGAACCACCCTATTACAACCCAAATTTGCCCATGAAAGCAGAAATGTTCTGGCTGGCCTGCATTCGAGCGTTTTTTCCACTTTCCTCAGCCTTCCACACTATAATGACTTATGCATGGAATTCAGAGGCTTTATATTTTTCTTCTCAGTGCAAGGTGAATGCCAACATGGAAAACGTGAATGCTGGCCATTTTCAAAGATGGCCACAGACCTCAGGAGGAACCAAAAAGTATGCAGAAGGATATTTGATCCTACTGGGGTACCAAAATGCTAGCACATCTTAATTCTACCTATCTTTATAGGGTGCGGCTATTTACCTTTCGAGCATGTGCTTAGTTAGAGTAACTTGAAGTTTTTGGTGGGGAGTCAGAGTCCTATTCAAAAGATGGGATTGAAGCCAGCCCAGCAGTTAATCTGTTTTATGGCTGAGGGCAACAGTATATGCTGGCAGTTCCTGTACTGAGCAGAAAGTAAAAACTATCTGCTCTTTCAATGGGATTTTTCATTCACAGCCTAGTAATTTTTTTTTCCACTGTAGATTGATTTAAGTTAGTCAGTGTTAAAAGGGTTGACTTTAACATGGATATAACTTGTTTCCTTTAACTAGTTTAAATAATCCAAGGTAGAGGATGCAGACTTATAAAGTTCTTCCATTCTGGCCTTATCTTACATGTGATTTTGTTGCCTGCTTAAATATGTATGGTCCAAATACTAACAGGAATATACTAACATCTTTACAAGGAAAGAGGATGAGACTTGAGTGTTTGAAGACTGGAACTAATTGTCCAATGATGCTCACTTCTCCCTTTTGAATTGCTTCATGGGTGGTTAGAGTTCATACATACATACATAGTAAACACATGAGGGAAGAGGATGATGAAGGTTAAAACATCACAATTCTGTGGAGACAATGAGCTCTTTTGGTTATTTGAGCCTGGCCCTTGGAAGCTTGTTCTAATTTGCAATATTGGTTCATGTCCTAGATCTATTGCTTTGAACACTTACATGTTTTCTTTTTAGGCTTCTACACTACCTCCATGATATTAATAATGGCAGAAAATAAATGTATCTATCCTAAAGTCTTATAATAGAGTGCATCATGCTTTGCTTTCTTATTCATGAGTTTTGAGTTAATGTGAACTAAGCTGTATTATTATTCTGCTTCCCTATTTCACCCTGGGGTAGAGACATCCTGGTTACTGGGACCTGTATGGGTTCTTTTACATGCTAATGCATTGCACATGCTGTCTGTCCCTGCTGTTCCAGTTTGCAAAACCGGTTCCCTGGTGGCTTTTGTTTCAATTCAAACCAAACACCAAATCAATTTCCTTAATGGCTTTTGTTCACAAAAGCACTCAGAAAAGCATGCAAACCAGAGCAACAAGTTAATTTTTCTATTGAATTTTTATTAGGTATCACAGTTCAAATATTTTCTTAATGGAGCTTAAAATGTTTTGATGCTTATATCTCCATTCATGAATAAACCAGCCCAATTGTTTTTTTTTTTAAGTACTGATAAAGTTTCACTAAAAATACTAACTGCAAATTTTTCTCTAATATTAGACTGCTTCTGAGAAACAAAACCATTAAGGCTATTAAGCGAAGGTTTTGTATTATTTCCTACCTCTGCTTAATAATACAGATTTACATTCTTTGCCATGAAATATTGTTACAGCATTTTTTTTTTCAATTTTTTTAACAGGCGACGAAATGGCAGAAGACACTCTATTCCTTGATCCATGAATTCAAAATCATCGTTTGTCAAGTTCTATCCCAAGCCAGCGTCATATGGAATGCATCTTCTTGTCTGCTGTTAAGCAATGGTGACATGTCTGTAGCTATCAGAAAAAAGAGCTGGGAAGAGCATGTGACCCAAAAGACTGGACAGCCTTTTAATTCTGATGAGTATGACATAGCATGTCATCACGGACTGGCATCCGACAGCTTGCAGGCAAGTATGGAAAAAGATGCAACCTTAAATGCGGACCATAAAGAGCAGTGTGCCTCTCTACCAGACTGCTGTTGTGGGCCGGAGCCCAGAGACTTTCCTGGGAGGCCAATGGGTCATATTTCACAGGAAGTGGATGAAAGCGGCAGCCAGGAAGGGGAGGAGCGGTTTTTGTCTCTGGAGGCCAGCACAGAGACCCTAGTGCACATTTCTGATGAAGATACAGATTCCGAACTCCACCTTACCCATGATGCACAGATTCCAACTTCCCCAAGACATGACAGAGACGGCCAATGTAGTGTCGAAGGAGTGGGCTCCCTCATGAAGACACTGTCCACCATGCAAAGTAACCAAGGTTCTCATAACTCCTGGAGGAAGGCTGGTAAAGCCGAGGTGTCTCCAGCAGAAGAAAGTGGGGGGAGGCAAGGTGCTGATGCTGTAACTAAAAGCCTGGAGCTTTGTAAGGATATAAGTTCAAATGAAACAAAAGATGTGCCCAAAGTAAGTACATTCGATTCTTTGAATGTGGAAGATGCTACACCTGAGACACAACTGCTTAATTCTGCGGTAATAGCTCAACAACGAAGGCAATCTGACTTCCCTAAAGAGGAACAGGAAAAATATCGCTCCGGTGTAGTAGAAGTGGAGTTCTTGGCTGGTCCTTGTGCAGACGGAGTGCTACCATTATTAAAAGCAGATAGCAGAAGCTGCCTTCTGCAGCCTCCTTCCTGCCCCAGTGGAATGTCAGCAGAAAATGACCCGGAGAGGAGTGGGTTCTCAGAACATCAAAACAAAAGCCCTTTCAAGGTCAACACAGAAGATGGCATGCAGTGTTTACACTTAAGGGGCCCAGTGACCACCCAGGAGACCACAGACAATCAAGTCAGACTGCGCAAGAGAAAGGTAAGCCTCACACATAGATAGAGCATCTGGCTTTTGAAATGTTGTAAATGTCTTTCTTTTCGTCACTTAACGAATCTGCTTGGGCTGAAAAGGATGTGCAGATGTTTGGTTTGGTTTGGTTTTGACCCTGCTATGTAGCTCACACACTTTAAAGACTATTCACTTGGTAAGATTATGAAGGTATATGAGAGTTGACATATAATAATCTTACTATTTAGCTAGCAACATTGTGGTGGTTTGTAGCCCTTTAAAATTGTGTCAAGATAGAACAAAGCATGGCTTGCTTTCCTTGGAATTCAGCAGCCACCACAGCCTGTCCCTTTATAGTTCATGGCCTCCTAAACACTGATATGTAATTTTTATAAGAAAAAAGGCAATGTGTTTAATTCTTGGACCTGTTTTTTTTTTCCTTTCAAATGTATATTTAGTCATTTTCACTCATATATTTAAACACAAACAAACAAAAACAACTTGGGACTGGTGAAATGGCACAGAGGTTAAGGGCATGTAGTTCTCTTCCAGAGGACCAGAGTTCAATTCCCATCACCCATGGTGAGTGGCTCTGGAGTGCGTGTAATTCCAGCTCCAGGAGATGTCATGCATTCTCCCAGGCTCTGAGGGCTATCTGTACACACATACATGCAGATGCACACACATACACAGTTATTAAAAAAAATATAATAACTCTTAAAGATTCCAAATAACCCTTTCCATATGGAAAGAAAACACCTCACATGCACATTAAATGTTACTCTAGTAATCCACTATCAATTGAGGCAGCATTATGTCTTTTCCTTGAAAGGGGCCAATACAAGATAAAAAATTTTATTTTATACCCCGACACCTTTGAATGAATCTAGGGATTCCCCTAAGGAAGCTTCCAGACAAGAAATTACAGGGGTAGCCCTACATGACTGGGTTAGTATTGAACTCTTATTCAAGATTTTATATATATATATATATATATATATATATATATATATATATATAGTTTCTTCTTGTGTCACTCTTCTGTTGCTCTTAAAAAACCCTGAAGATTAGAACACTTCGTTCAATAAAAAAAAAAAAAATTTAAAAAGACACTTTTCTTCCTCTCTTCAGATATAGTCTTAATCCATGAATTTACAATTACTAAACAAAAAGTAGATATTCTTTTTTCAGTTGAACTGCAGCTACCCATCTACTGTTTGAGGGGGACCTTTTCAATTCTCTCTTATTTCCTTAATCTGTGTGGGTTTTATTAACAAACTACATCAGTAATGTATCACTAGTTCATTTAAATGAACTCAAGGACATTACTGCAAAAGTCAATATGCTCAAACTGTATACTAACATAATACTCTGTGCCTCTGGCAAGCATTCCTTTCCCTATGTATATTGCATTGAAATGTCAATGCCACATAGAGGTAGTATTATTGGAATGCTCACATCACATTTCCAGAAATTTCCATGTGTCCTATCAAATTGTTGGAGAGACTGCAATGATGACACAAGAAAATATTAACTGACTTAGAACATAGGTTCATAAAATAAGACAAATACGGCCCAACTGCCTACTGACACATTAAACATTCCCACAACATGTGCTCATTGTTGATCATTAATATCAATATGAGGAATGCCGGCTGCAGTTATATCTCATTTGCAAGTTCTAATTTAAATTTTCTATTTTAAGCATTTCAACACCTCCAAAGTTTTGCAGCATTACTGGTTGGAATACTAACTTTGACAATCCAACCTTTTGGCATGTCTTGGAATGAGAGTATTACATGTCAAGATTTAGGCTCAAAATTTGTGATACAAGGTGTTGCTAAGATACAAACTATTAGAATTAAAATGTGTAGTAACTGTTGTTTTATCTGTTACTAATGAATGTTAAATAACTATAAATTGAAAATTAGCTCAAAATTTTACCAAGATAACTGAATGTATTTGTAAGAACAGTATGTACAGAGATAGTCATTGCTTCCTATAACAACAACAACAATAATACCATCCCAGATTTTGTTCATTATATTGTTCACTATTATGAACTGTATGGAATGCTATACAGCCATTAAAGATTTGGAGTGAAGGGCTTGTAGAGAAGGCTCAATCTGTAAAGGGTTTACTTGGCAAGCAGGAAGAACTAAATTTGATTTTCCAAAACACACACAAAAAGCTAGGTGTGGCAAGGCATTCTTTAACACCCATAATCAAGGGCCAGAGACAGTAGGATACCTGGGTTTGCCAGCCAGCTCATCTAGCCAAGTTGTAAGCTTCAGGGTCAATGAGACACTGTGTCTCAAAAAATAAGATGGAGGATTGGGGCTGGAGAGATTGTTCAGTGGTTATATCAGGACACATGGGTTCAACTTCTAGTATCCACACTGGTGTCTCACAATTATCTTTACCTCCAGTCTCAGTGAATTCGATGCCTCTTCCAGCCTCCATGGACACCAAACATGTACATGGTGCATATATATTCATGTAGGCATAACAGCCCCCACACAAAATAAAATTGAAATTTTAAAAAATGAAAGAAATGGAGAATGACAGAGGAAAACACTCAGCATCAACATCTGGCTTCCATATACATGTATATCCTTACACTTACATGCAGTCACATGAACAGATAGACACAATCATACAGTCTTTCAACTTTAGCCTTCTGGATAGCTGGGATTAGAGATCTCTGCTGCAGTGATGGCTGAGAACAGTGCAGGGGACCACTCTTTCATCTCTGTACAATGTTAGGTGCCAGATACCGGAAATAGTTTGTTAAGTAAGCCATCTATCTAGTTAAAACTGCTTCTCAGTCATGGCATAGTATGAGAAGTGAGATAGACTGTGAGATCATATGAGGTTGAAAACGTCAATCAGCTGATTAACTGAATGCCAAGTAAGCATAACAAATTCTTTATTGAATTTTCAAGCATAGATTTTTCTTTCATTGGATATAATCCATGTTCTAAGACTGAAACAAAACAACAAGAAAGACTACAAGAGTCTTCCATCTGCAGGGTATGGCCTTAAATCCCCTCACTTGGAAAGCTGATGCAGAAGGATGGGAGATATGGATGTAGCTTTTGTTATACAGTAAGAGCCTGCCTCGAGGAACAAAACAAAACCAACAAACCAATGTTGCCTGGTACTCTTCTAGACCTATCATGCCTCATATCTACACCATGCCTCTTTGAAACCTGTAAGGTTTAACAGGCACTCACTCTTTTAGATGACTTTGTTCAGTAACACCTGGGATAGACACACATGTATTTACAAGGACTCTCCATTGCAGAGGACTGCATCTGTAGCCTATCTAACCAAAGAGCTTTGGGGCTAATAATTTAGTTTTGAGCTGAAATATGTTAAAATAGTCTATGGAATTGAAATTGAAACCACAAAAGTCAAAGGGAAAACAAAAGGATTGCAAGGGGACATTAGTGAATGAACCACATGGTTGTGTGGCCTGTGACGAGTGCCCTTACGGCCTTGGGTGAATCCCTAGGCTGAGACAACTGCTTAAAAGCAGTTCTCAGAAACACATTCCACAGACGTCTGGTGGCAGGAGAGAGTCTAAGAAGTGGTCTCTTAAACCAAAAGTTGTGTGAAGATGGAAAAGGCACAGAGAAAGGCTTGAGGTTGGAGGTTTTTTGAAAAACTAGTGTTATTTGTCATTGATGGTGGTTTACTAATTACAGAGTCCCAACTTCCATCATCTGTAAAGAGCATTTAAGTATTTGCCAAGCTTTTCAGTAATGCTATAGTTAAAGAAATGTATGAATCTGTTTTTATTAATACATTAGACGAGACATAAACTATACTACAAAGCAGGATAAACTCCAAAAAGTATTACAAAAATAATAGCTCTGAGATGATACACAATCCCATTTCCAAAATCTCCCTCAGTCCAATGACAAATTAGTTCTGATTTGGGGATTCTTGATATGTGTGATGGCTTATAACTTTAATGTAAACACTTGAGAGACAGAGGCAGAAAGATTGGCTTGGGCTACATTATGAGTTCTGAGTTGGGCTAGGGAGATAGGTCTGTCAGTAAAAGTGATGGATGAACAACCATGAGGACATGGGTTCTATCCTTAGACACCTAAATGTATCCTCTTAGTGCTGGGGCAGGCAGAGTATGGCAGATGACGGGAATTGTAGCTAGTCAGCCTAGCATACTCATTGAACTCCTAGCCATTGACACACATTATCTAAAAGCAGCAAGGTAGAAACAGGCATGGTGACTGTTGTAATTCGGGTTACTATTGCTGTGAAGATACACCATGACAATGGAAACTCCTATAAAGAAAAACATTTAAATGAGGCTGGCTTACAGTTTCAGAGGTTCAGTCCATTATCATCATGAAGGGAAGCATGACAGTGTGCAGGCAGATGTGGTGCTGGAGTTGAGAGTGCTGCATCTTGCAGTCAACAGGAAGTCAACTGACTGTCACATTGAGGGAAGCTTGAGCAAAAGAGACCTGAAAGCCCACCCCCACAGTGACACACTTCCTCCAGCAAGGCTACACATCCTAATAGTGCCACTCCCTTTGGGGCCATTCTCCTTCAAACCACCACAATGTTAGGCAGGTAAAAATGCCCAGTCCTGCATGGTGGAAGGAGAAAATGAAGTCCCACAAGTCCTCTGACCATCACACATACTCCATGGCATAACTGTGTGTACACACATACTCAAGTGCACACACACACACACACGTACAAAAGTGTAAAAATAAGTTAACTTAAATAAAAAGTGGACAAATTGCTCAAAAAAAAAAAAAAAAAAAAAAAAAAGATGACACCTGAGAACACTCAGGTCCTCTCAACAATCTCTAACCTAGACACACTCTCACACATATGTGTTCATATGCTTACACACATATGTACCTGTGTGAAAATAACATTTTTACAGACACATACAGACAAAAAAAGATTAAAGAAAAATTTCAATCTAATAATTAAATCTCATTTTTAAAGCACTATTTTTGAGACTTTAGGTTAGACCACTGTCACTA